CTTGGGGAGAGGGGGAAACTCAGGGAGGAAAAACTTGGGGGGGGAAAAAAACTTGGGGTGGAAAAACCTGGTGGGGAAACCTGGGGGAAAACTCAGGGGGAATGAATTCATGGAAGAAAAAAACTTGGAGAAATAAATTGGGGGAGAAAAAGTCCCAGAGGGGGAAAGTCTGGGGATAAAAACTCAGGGTGGAAAAATTCAGGGGACAAAGACTTGGGGGGGGGGAAACTCAGGGGACAAAGACTTGGGGGTGGAGGGAAACTCAGGGGACAAAAACTCAGGGAAAACTCAGGGGGGAAAAACTTGGGGGAGTAAGTTGGGGAGAAAAAGTCTGGGGAGAAAAACTCAGGGAAAGGGGGAAATTCATGAGGGAAAAGCTCAGGGGGGAAAAACTCAAGGGGGAAAAATTCATCATTCCTTTGGCCATGACAGCACCTCCCAGTCCCTCAGCCCTCCAGAACCACACTGGGCAGTGACTAAAGCCCAGTTTAAGACTCTTCACTGGAGGGTTCAGAGAAAGGGAGGGCAAAGCAGGCAAAGACCCCTCAGTGTCACCAGAGAACAGCTCCAACTCCATCCTCAGCCTGCTCAGACACAGGAATGTCCCTCCATTAACTCCTAAATCAGCTGGATCGTCACAGCTGTGCTGCTGGAAGATGATGTTTCCATTTTTTGAAAGAACAGAACACAATAACTGGGGAGTAATTCGCCCTATTATATTTAATGGAACATTCTATCGATTAGATCTAATAGAATGTAATTTTATAGAACGGAACAAAAATGTTGTGTGTTTGTTTTCGATGCATAAGCCTATCAACCATAAATATTTTATTGGCATCCATGGCAGATGAGGCATTGAAGGTAATTCAGGCAGTTTTGCAAACAAAAGAAATAAAAACATTGCACCAAACACCAGAATTACGGGGGGGGGGAGAAAGGTCTGAAATCGTTCAGTAATTTTTACACTCATTTTCTGCAAAGCAGATTCAGTTATTAGGTAAACCAATGTAAGATGTGTGACTATTTTAAAAAAGAAATTACATTTTTTCAAAGCTAAAAATCCTAAGCCTGATGGCCCTGAGAGTCGGCAGCGAGCGTGAGGTGTGGTAGGAACAAGATACACTTCCTCAACTCCCTAAACCAGCCCCAATTCTTATTTCCAGCCCCTCAAAAATACAGAAAAGCAGATCTTGGGAATCCCAAGCGACAGAAGTTTAAGTTGGATGCTTGCATAATGTTTCCAGGGAACTATAGGGGACATAATTATTAATTTTAGTATTTCCAGTTTAGGGAATCTGTCACTGATCATCAAATCCCAGACTGGTTTGGGTTGGAAGGGACCTTAAGGATCATCTCATCCCACCCCCTGCCATGGGCAGGGACACCTACCACTATCCCAGGTGGCTCCAACCTGGCTTTGGACACTCCCAGGGAATGGGGCAGCTTCTTTACCTTACCTGAAGTTGGGACAAGGCAAATCAGGGCACAATTAATGCCCCCCACCAGCCACACGTGCACTTTACTTGTTAAAATGAAGAGCCCACATAAATAAAACACTGAGGAATATCTGATGTCCATGAATCTGAACACACAGCTGTGTAAGTCAGTTATCACAGAACAAGAATTCCACATAAAAAGGAGGAACAGAGGGAAGCAGGAATTTTTAGTGCCTGTTTCCAGCTGGTCACCCCCAAAACACACCACAGCTTGCTCCAGCCACTGTCCCCTTCCCAATCCATCCGCTCATCTGAATGTAAATGTCCTATAAACACATTAGGAATGATGGATTCATTTTGTCTCTGCAGCACCTGATGTCCAACAGAGCTCTCCTTCCCCTCTCACTCTCTCCTTCCCCTCACTCCCATTAAAACACTGCTCAAACTATGCACCAGTACAGAACACATGACCTAAATTTTAAGATCCATATGAATTGCTACATCCCATGGGATTGGGAATGTAACACAAGCTGCCTGAGATCACACAGTAAACCAACACAACCCCCAGAAGTACGAGTTCACTCTGTTTCTAGATCCGAGCCATCTTAAAAGTGCAACCTCCAAAAAAAACCTTGAAGGCTGGTTCCATATTATAAACTATTCATAGTTTATAATATAAAATATATACTGCCAGATATAAAATAGGAATTGCCAAATTTTCATGGTTTATTTGAGTTCTCACAGCTGAGAGCAGAGGTCCCACTGCACTCACTACAAACCCCTGCCAAGACAAAAAACATTCCAATGCTTTTAAACTGACAAAAAGGAGGTTTAGATGAGATTCTGGGAAGGAATTCCTCCCTGGGAGGGTGGGGAGGGGCTGGCACAGGTTGGGCAGAGAAGCTGTGGCTGCCCCATCCCTGGAAATGTCCAAGGCCAGGTTGGAGCAACCTGGGCTAGTGGAAGGTGTCCCTGGCCACAGCAGGGGTTGGGACTGGATGGGTTTTAAGGTCCCTTCCAACCCAAACTGTTCCACAATTCTGCAATTCCTTCTCCGAGATTCTCTCCCTTCCTTGAAAGCAAAAGATGCCAAAGAAAAGGAGATGTGTTATTCCCTCTTTCTGTGCAACGTTTCCCCCTCCCTGCCTGGGCTCTCCATGAAATGAGCCACATTCCTTCCTGTGATTGAACTGAAGTCAGTTTGTTTACACCAAAGATTAATTTGGCCTTTTTACACAAACGAACAAAAACCAGGAAATTCAAAGCCAGAGCCTCAGTGCTGCCAGGACGTGGGTTTAGCCTTTAATAAGCTGAGCCTTTATCACTCTGCAAACCATGTTCCAAAGGCAGATAAGCAGCAGGAAAGTGCACGGCAGGACATGGCCCGAGAGCCAGTCAATGGAGATCCCATTATTAACCTGTCAATACCCAACTGTCCCAGCAGCACAACAACTGCTGATACACGGGGGGCTCAGGGGAGCATTAACCCTCCTGGATCAGGAATCTGCCCCTGCTGATGCAAACAGGATTTTTTCCGAGGGAAAAGATTAGCACACACCTAATGCCGCCCTGGTGCCAACGCAAACTCCGTGTGAGAGGAGGAAGAGCTGCCACAGTGAGTGGGATGTTCGGTGCAAATAGGATCAAAAACAAAGGAAAATGGGAGTTCCAGTGAGCCTGAAGAGTGGAGAATGATGGAAAAAGTAAAAATTCCTCTCTGGGAGGGTAAGCACAGGTTGACCAGAGCAGCTGTGGCTGCCCCATCCCTGGGAGTGTCCAAGGCCAGGTTGGAGCAACCTGGGCTAGTGGAAGTTGTCCCTGCCCATGGCAGGGGGTGGAATAAGATGAGCTTTGGGGTGCCTTCCAATCTAAAGTGTTCTGTGATTCTGTGAAAATGCAGAAGACTGGATGTGTGGGAGATGGGATGGACAGAAACACCAGCGCCAGGAGCTGTGGCAAAACAGCACAGGGAGATTTAAAGCCGCTTTCTGTGGGAGGGAAAAGAGGAGGTCCAAAAACACAGGAGAGAAATCTTCGGAATAAATGCACACCAGAGAGTCAGGTCACAGCTGAGAGTAAGAAATGGGCTGTCTCCTGCATGATGAACACTGCAATTCATTTACTCCACTGAGGAATGACAGCTAATTATTCCAAATTTCCACGTCATAAATAATTTACGTGCAAGGGGCTGTAATATGCCATCAATCAGGGAGCATGGAAACTGCATTCCTGAAAATGATGCCGTACTCACAAATGGACTGAAAAGTCTGCTTGAACAGGGAGACCTGCTACAAGCTTAAAGAACAGGATATAACTTTAACCAGACCACTGCAATGCCTTGCTACCTCAGCCCTCTCACAGTAGCTTAAAACAATACAAACACATTAAAAAAATCAAATAATAATCACTGATAAACCCTACCCCCTCTTTCCTCCACTACCTTCATCTATTCACTTTAACTGTCCTCAACCTTCACATCATTCCTTCTCTCCTTTTCCATCTTCTTCAGCCACAAAGGTCACCTCTCCAATTTTACCCAGCACTGCATCAACTCCATCATTCCAAAGTCATCAGATCCAACACCAGCACCTTTCGGTCACCCTCAGTTTATCTTCCTGAATGCAGCTGCTCACCTGCAAAGCACAGACACCCCCCAACTCCTCCACCGACTGTAAATCCCAGCACTGGACTGTGTAAGTCAAGGTACTTCATACAAACATTCTCTACCTCCCCTGAGACAGAAAGAAAACAGGAGGTGCAAATGGAATACAACAGCGGGAAAACCAAACAAAATTCCCTTCCAGAGCTCGAGGGGCATTTGGACAACACCCTCAGGCACAGGGTGGGATTCCTGGGGTTATCCTTTGCAGAGCCAGGAGCTGGACTTTGAGTATCCTTGTGACTCTCTTCCAACTCAGGATACTCTAGGATTCTATCAAAATACGAAGTTTTAATTCAGGAATGAAAGAGAAAAGTGTGCAGGAGGTCCATGCAGAGGCCCAGCCAACACTTTTGAGCAGAATGAAGATTGTGACGGACATCGACAGTGCCTGGCTCTGCAGGGCAGCCAAGGAGTTAAAGAATTAAGCCATGTTTCCTTGTGAGGCTCCATTAAGCAATACAAGTGAGTCTTGTGTAAAAGGATTTTAAGTTCAGCGTTACAAGTGCTGGTAATGAAGAGGATGCAGGCTGGAAATGTCAGCTGATCCATAAAGAACCGCCACGGCAAGATTTATCGCCCTCGCATCGCTCTGCTCCAGCACTCCTCCTGAATAATGAATGCTTCTTACATTCACATTTGTGTACAAAACCCATTTGCACAACAGAGAAATAACTCTGGAGGCAGGGATGGATTCTTCCTAATCCCTCACCCGGGCTCCCTGCGCTATAAGGAGCAGCTCTGCTAAGGAATCCATCAGTGCTATCCCATGTATCACTGCTCCAGCACCTTCCCTGGCCCACACTGTGTCACCCAGCTGACTTCTGTACCAAAAAAAGCAGCAAAAGCACAATTTATTTTGCAATAACACAGTGTAGTGATGGAGCATTAACTAACATTAAGATTAATTGCTCTGAGCTAGTGAATCATCCATTACTAATCCCTGGGATGAGGCCACGCAGCTGAATAACAACTTGTAGCTGGACTGGTATTAAAATCTTCGCAGTCTCGCCTTGCAGTCAGGGTCACAAAATGTTTATTCATTCCTACAGGAGATTTCTTGACAGAAAGAGAGAAATATTGCAAAGAAAGATGAATCAAATCAGAGACGAACAAGTCAGCTTCTCTCTAGTCACCACATCCCTTCGCAGACCCGCTCTGCAGCACGTGGAGTCAATGAAGCTTTCAGGCAGTTTACACCTGACTGCAGGTGGGGAAGGGTCCTGGGCTCTGCCCAGGGCATGAGAACGTTCCCAGAGAGTAAAGGCACATCTGGAAATCACAAGCTGTTTGTGTGTCAAAGCACTAAGACAGTGCTCAGCAGATACCAAACACTGCAGCTTCCCAGGGATTTTGTTTGGAAACAAGAGCGAGATCACCTCCAATCTCAGCTCCTTTATGAACCCACACAATGTTTTTCTGTCTAGTTACAGCTTTTTCCTCTGGCTCTTGTTCCCAAACACTCTCCCCAGGTAAGAGACACCCACCAGTTTCCATCTCTGCTCTGGAATAGCGCTGATATCCACAGGATGACGCTCCATTACATTGAGGAAACGGGCCTCAGGGACAGCAATAGCACAGATTACATGGACCCACCTGGGGAACAAAGCAAAGAGACAAATCAGAGGCTGCCATTAGTTGAGTCAAATGCTCAGGAGGGCAGTTAACATTTCCCTGCCTCCCTCAGCATCAAGGCATATTTATATGGGTTGGCAGCCTTGGCAACGTTACCGACTGTTAATTACGGTCACACGAGGTAAATGTCTCTGCAACAACGGGGATCAACCTGCTTGTGCATCTGATTCTGCATGATGCTAAACATTCTCTGAGAAGACTTTTCTCTGAGAAACAACCACATTCAACAAGTGTTCTGAACCTCTGCTGTGGAGCACCTGGTGCAGTGTAAGCCAGCACAGCCACTCAGGCTCATCCTCCCAGGCGAGGAGCTGTTACCTCCAGAACACCAAAACTCGCTGGTACACCGAGCAATAAGACCCAGCTCACAACAGCAGGAGATTAGGATGGCATTTGGAAGGAAAAGATCCTAAAATACAACACTCACCGCCCATCAGTGGTCATCTGAAGAGCTCCTCCCCTGAGATTGCACAGGCAACATTCCTGCAGGAACACAACTCCTTCAGAACCGGACAGGAAACCTCGGCCTATCCCCCCCCAGAAATGACTGCACCCCACCTGGGATGTCATAGGCAAACTGAACCCTCCCACCACCCATCTCTGGAGAGGTATCTGAACAGCTCCCAGAGTATCCTGTGGGAACTGCCTGGTGTCCAGAAGGGCAGGTCCTTACCGCTGCCCACGCGTTGGCTGAGCACCGCGAGCAAGACCAGCTCTCGTTCACCAGGTCTGGACGAATTCCGTAACAGCCTGAAAGAAAACAGTTACACCCTCATCAGGTCAGAGTTTTCACAACTTATCTGTGGTACTGACTTTCTGACTTTTCAGTTAGAAGCATCTCTGAGAGCAGGTGCAGTATTTGGGTGACTACATTCAACAGGCTCAGAGAAAAGTCTGAGGGGGCAGAATTTGGGACCAGCAGGTCTAAAAATAAACAAAAAACCCACATACAGGAAACTCTCAACACGCTTTTTTCACTTTCCTAAGGAATACAGTAACAGGACTTTGATTCTTCAGGCAGGAACTGGGCTCCAAAGTGATGCCATCACTGCTGGAAGGCACTCACACATGGAAACAGGTAAGGCCACTGAATTTTGCTGCATGGTGTTAAGAGGAAGGACAGGCCCAATAACAATGCAAGGAAATTAAATACCTGCTCTTCACATATTTAACAGTATTTAATTTATGGCTATGTGAAGTGTTAGAAACATCTGATTTTACAGAGCATCAACTACTGTAACATGCAAGCACCAAATCCTCCTACAGCAACACCAAAATAGTAAAGTGGCATTAAAGCCATAATAAAGACAGAGAAATAAGAACAAAAAAGTCCCTAATATTCTATAAAAGGCATTGAGGTTTGTTACTGAAAACAATGGGGAGAAGACACAGAAATAGTTTTGAAGAAGTGGATCTATGTGATTCCTCCAAGCTTGTAAAGCAAGTGGAAAACCAAATAAAAGCATCCCAAATAACACACAGCTCATCCCACTCAGCCTTTACCTATCCTAACAAAACCCCATCCAGCCTTCACCTACCCTAAAAAGCTTAACAGAAAGTTTCAGCTGGGAACAACAATCTCAAATTCCTGAATTAAACTTAAAAGGAGTCATTCAGAAAGCACTGGGATTGCCACCATAACCTGATTTATAAATATCATCCACTTAGCCAGATAAACAGCATGTCAAAAAAAAGTCAATACTATGGATCTGCAGCTGTTCTCCACAGCTGAGATCTCTTTTCATCATATGGCAAACCAAGAAAGCAGATTCCACCCAGTCCTAGACCACGGGCAGGGTGTTCAGCCCAAAAACGGAGCTGAGACAGAACCAGACACTGAGCTGGAACACTGCTGGACCTGCCAGAGGTGAGGAACAGGCTGGGATTTCAGCATGGATTTCTTCCTCCAGCACCACAGGGAGCTGGAATGTGGGATCTGAGAAAAGGAGAGACTGAGGGGAGACCTTATTGCTCTCCACAACTCCCTGACAGCAGGTGGGAGCCAGGAGGGGCAGCGGGATCTTCTTCCACGTAACAAGCGGCAGGACAAGAGGAAACAGCCTCAAGCTGTGCCAGGGGAGGTTTAGATGGAAAATTAGGAAATATTTTTCATGGAAAGGGTTGTGAAGCATTGGCACAGGCTGCCCATCCGTGGAGGTGTTCAAACAACGTGTGGATGTGGCACTTAAGGACATGGGTTAGTGGTGAATAAAGGGTGGTGATGGGGTGACTGCTGGACTTGATGATCGTAAAGGTCTTTTCAAACTTTAATGATTCTATGAGGGGAGAACAATCATATTTACTGAGCCCCAGACTGTCCCATAAGGACAATCCTAGCAGACCAAGAAAAATATGCTCTTTTTATGGATTTCGTCAGTGCCTCAAAAGCCCAGAAACCTTCACAAAACCTTCCCTCTCCGTCTGTTCCGGCTGCTGCCGTTAACCCAGCACAGTTTGTGAGGACACTTCTCAAGAACACTCGGGCTGCCAACTGGTTTTACAGCACAGATTAGCCAAAATACACCTCTCAACACTGCAATCCTGCAATAAAAGCAAATGGATCCTCTGCAGCAAAGTCACAGGGATGTCACAGACTCGGAGCACAAACAGTGACAAGGAAATGAGAATATGCTGGAAACTCCGTCAGATTTAAGGTCCATGCTGTCCTCAAGGGGAGAGCAGCACAGCCAAAAGAAAAAGCTGCATTTCTCTACACCCTGAGTGTGCAGATTAACATCATCTTGCCCACATCTCTCTGTTCCTAAACAGAGTTTGGCCACTGAAACCACTCTGATAGACTGGACTATTGCAGACACATGGATGGAGAAGATGCAGCATCTCTGATTGCTACAGAGGCCACAGTTTGGGAAGTAAGGACATCCTCACTCTGCTTATTAGCCAGGAATGACCATAATCAGGGATCCAGCACAGAAATAAAAGTTGCCTTCCGGTTCTCCACCAGAGCCAGCCCTGCTGAGCTGCACGGGGACCTGCAGGCTCTAAAATTGGAACAACAAAAGTAATTCCAGCTGATGCAAGTCAAATAAGATTCCCCATCTGTCAAGATCAAACAGCTGAACAGTAATTCGTCACATCTCCTACGAGCCCAACTGTTAACTGGATGTTGTACAATCCACGCTGAAGGTACACACTCCACCAGGATTAATCAGATCTTCTTTTAGACATAACTATCAGGGAAGCAAACAGACATATGTTCCCTTTTGTAATCAAGTGCCATTACTACAAACAGCATCACAGACACTAATAAAATGTACCTCCAACTCCTCCATAATCTCTGCTGCACGCAGGAACAAAACAGCCTCACCCAGCAGAGCAATACTGGGAGGAAATATTTGAGAGAAAAGAGTGCAATAAGCCTTGTGAGCTCTGCTTTATTACAAAAAAAATGAAAGATATCAAAAGAAAGAATCTTTTCTGGGAGGCAGGGAAAAGATCAGCCAACAAAACAACCCCTAAAAAGAATGTTGGCGTGAATTTTTAAGGTCAGTGACTGCCAAGGTGGATTTGAATATACAGGCATCCCTTCCAGTGGAAGGTGTTCCTGCCCGTGGCAGGGGGTTGGAAGTGGATGATCTTCAAGATCCCTTCCAACCCAAACCATCCTGTGATTCCAAGATACACTTGCACCAGAAAAGGATAAAAATGGGAGTGACAGGTGTAGCAACCCTGGAACTCAAATACAGGCAACACACAAGTAAACTTGGGAGTCTCCCAGTGCCCAGAAGGCTTTGGGAAGGAGGGAACACTCACTAGCATGAACCTGCAGGCAGCATTTGGCACAGGATATCAAGGGGCTGGTTCCATCCTCTCCAATATAGGAATTTGAAGGGAGGGGCTCCGTGTTTTCCCCACTTGAGGTAAAGCACATCTCTGGGATCAGGGGCTTGGTCTTCTGTCCACACTTGGAAAGGTGGATGAAAGAGGAGGGCTCCCCTGCGGACACTGGGCCAGCTTCCTTATCCACCTGTAAGGACTGGCAGAGAAAATGTCAGCACATGGAATCAATCACCTCTTGCCTGGGTACAGTTTAAAGTTTCAAGGCTGAGCGCTCCTCCCCTTGCAAAAAAAAACCCCATCCAACACCTGCCACCAGACAGCCAAAAATTGAGCCTTAAAACCTGATTCTCCCAGGCACACCCCACACCCCTGCCCTGCTCCTCTTCCTTAGGCCTCTCCTGGGACCTGTAATTTGTTTGGAAAGCTCCAGGAAGCTTTAGAATAACGAGCAGCTTCTCCTGGTTTTCTTCTGGAAAAATCTGAATCCTTAAATTGCAGCTGAAAACACCGAGGAAAAATAAAAAGGAAAAATCTTGTTTAAAGCAAGACCTTCCCTCCCCCTCTCCCATCCCTCTGGCATCCTTCCCTCCTCTTCCTGCAAGAATTTCTCCTGAAGGACACTTCAAGGTTTCTGGTAGCAGACAGAGTTAAAAGCAATGGATTAAACCAGCCCAGCTGCACCCAAGTTTTTCCTCAGAACCATCAAACAACATCCAGCAATCAGAACAGATATTTTATTTTTCAGTCCCTATAATAAATCAAGGAGGTTTTATTGAAAGGGGGAGGTGGGTCCTGCTTTCCTCAGAAAAAGCTTCCAACACATATCCAAGGAATCTAAGGCACATATTCCTGGTGGACACACAAAGCCAAATCTGGCTTTCTGTGAGAACAAATCAATACCCAGCTGAGCAAATGACTAATTCATCTGATGAATTTTGCCTTTCTGCTCATAACATCTCCCAGAGCATATTGGTAGTTTCCAAAGGAGATGATGGATGTGCTTACTCAGTAAATTTTTATTTTGTTGCTTGTTTGCATATATTCAGCAGTCTGGGCCTGTACTGAAACACGAGCAATCATGTGCCTGATGTGGCAGAGTTTTCTGCAAGAAGCAGTGTTTGCAAAGCTCTTCAAATGTGTGATTTTAAAAAATGAACACTGAGAAAGCCAGAGAAGCCAGGAAAAAAACCAAAAACCAAACCAAAAAGGCTGTTCCAAATCCAAACACTTTTCTTTGGGGTGCAAATTTGTAGGGGTCTGTCTTTATTATAAATGTGTACAATCTAATTTATCCTTACGAGCAGTATCAGAGGTTTAGATTAGACATTAAGAAAAATTTCTTTATAGGAAGCATGGTCAGGTGTCGGAACAGGTTGGAGTCATCCCTGGAAGTGTTCAAAAAACATGGGAATATGGCACTTGATTTAGTGGTGAACACACTGCTGGGTCTGGACTGACAGTTGGACTTAATCTTAGAGGTCTTTTCCCAGTTCAGTGATTCCAGGTGAGGAATTACCTGGTTGTAGGGGTAGAAGAGGGTGCAGACAGCACAGTATGGCTCACTCAGGGCAGCAGCTGCATTGAATTTCCTTTCAGCTGGGAAATTAAGTGCTTTATTCTTCCACTGGAAGGAAAGTAAAGATTTCAAAGCCTCCGGATCGCTCATATCTTCCTCTCCAGAAAATGGAAACATTTCTAGAACGAAAGAAAAAAAAAAAATCCCCAAACAATGGACAGTCAGTAGAGGCAGAAGAGTTTATGGATAGAAGAGGTGGAATGGCACAAGGCTGACTTAAACAGCTCATGTCTCAACTGTACAAGTGCAATAAATAAAAACATTCAACTCATCCATGGTTCCTTTTACAGCCATTCCATGGAGCACACAGCAATAAACCCACCCTTTGCTCTCCCCACCATCCCTCCCTCTGCCAGAGCTCTGCCAGGTGCTGCTCCTGCTAATTAGTTTGCTAATTCTTTATTTTCATAAACCTTTAAAAGGCCCTTGGCATTTCAGGATTAAACCACTGCAGAATCCATCTGGGGGGCCAAGTTTCTTACCCTTGCTTAGGTAGGAAATTCGAGTCACTGTAAGTGTTAAAAGAAATTTTCCACACAAGACTAAGTGTAAATCACTCCCTGCATCACCAATCTGCGAAGTTTCCAAGAGAACAGGGAACTCAAAAACATCTTGGTAGAACATTATCCCCAGAGCTCACACATTAAACCAAATTGTTCACTGCTTCACTGTTAATTACTAGAAATAAGCAGTTAATGTTCTGCTCTACAAGTCTTAAGTCTCCTCCCCAATTCTCCCTCCCTTTGAAGATTTTTTGACTCTCAGGTTACCTGAAAGGATAAAAGGAACTCGGAGTAAAACATTAATGGCTGAGTTCACATCTCAGACTTTAAATGTTCCCCTCAACTAATCTAATCTCTAATTGCCAGACAATGTGGAAATTCGATTGTGTTTAATTAATCACTCCTCTTTGTGAGGTGACGGATGCCGTCTGTGTGGCTCTGTCAAACTTCAAACGAGGGTTACTTCCTAAAAAGTGCCTTTTCTTTTTAAGGCATGAGCCAAAACCCTCATGTTTCTCCAGATTTTAGTTGAGGCACATCAGGTGACAGGCAGGGATTTATGACACCAGTGAAATCAATGAAAGCAGCATCCTAATCCAGAGTGACAGAGGGGGAGAAAAAGGGAATGACTGCTGTGTGTTATCACCTTCTCTCCTCCCAGGATGGACCCTGGGGGACACACAGCTCCTGCACTGCAAGTAGGAGGGACAAACAATTTGTCTGGACTGAATCTTAGTGCAGCATGTGCATCCCCTTAATTTACATGCTCAGTGTTCCTCTTGCAGCCTCCAGATCACCCTGGTACATCACTCCCTGAAAAAGCAGGGAGTGCAGAGAGCTGCTTCTATTCCCTGGTGGGGGAGGGAAGAATCTGTTTGATCAGCCTGTGCCCAGCAGGGCTGTAAATCAGTCCCCAGGAAATGCCAGCTTTCACAAGAGCTGCTCCTGCTCCAGCAGCCAAGCCCCCAAACACCATCCAACAAGTCAAGACAGTGGGAAGAATCTGCCTAAGGAGGACCCTCCAGCACCAAGGTGGCTGCAAGGTCTCCCACCAGAAGAAGGTAACGAGTCTCTGCTGCCTCTCAGCTCTTCACTCCACCTTACACACACCAAGGTCTATCTCCATGGGAAAGACCCAAAAGTGGGAAATTATACCCCAAACCAGAATGAGAGGTAAGAGTATTTTTTTTTTTTTATTCCTTGGTCCAGGCTGTTGGGGCATTCACAGGGACTGGAATGTGGGAAAAGAAGAATCAGTGAGGTGCAGTTAAGCACTGACAGACTTTAATTCTCATTTCTGCATCTGCCAAGAAAAGTTGGGCCCCAACACTGACATGAATTCAAAGCCACTAAAAGGTTAGAATTAAACTCTCCCCACACACACAAGAGCAGACCTGACCTCCACTGCCCTCCAAGGGGAACAGATCTCATTCCACTCAACACCCAACACGGCACTTTTCCTGTAAGATGCAATTTTCTGTGAACTCTCTTTTCCCTTTGCCCAAAATGCTGCCTCACTCTGCAGCCAGCAAAATATTTTTCTTGAGAGGGAAAAAAAAAAAAAAAGGGTGGGAGGTGAGAAGGGAACACCTCCCACAGAGGAGTTTTGTTTCCAGCTGGGTTATCAAAATGGGAACACGCTGCGTTTTCTACCAGTCAAGTGTAACACACACACACAAAGAGTTTCAGGGCACCCAGTTATGGCAATGGCTTCAGGAATTTTTTTGTGGATCAGGCAAGACAAACATTCCTGGTGGTGCTCACTCACCCTCATCACTTGAGGTCTCCTGTTTGACCACGGACAGCGGGGAGCGGGTCGGGGGTTTGCCCAGGGGGTGACGACGACTCTTTTTGATCTCCATCTTCATTTTGGAGAAAGCAGAAGCAGTCTGGAAAGAAGCAGAACAAGCTAGACGGGCATCCCAAAGGAGGGAACAGGACAAGAGAGGCAGAACTCTTGTCATGAGGAGTTCTGAAGTTCACACAGCAAACTTTTCACTGCCTTTTGGCTGAAACACTTCAGTTTTCTGAGCCAGTTCCTGTAGCTGATGAAAGCCAACACTAACTCTTCAGAAGGTGGGTAAACTACAGAGTTTTCTTCCAACCAGAACAGGCTCAGAACATCTGCAAGCTGCCAATTCCATTTGCTTATGAAAAGTCTGGTCAATCACATACACGGCTGGGAACTCTGTGAAAATTATGGATCATCAAATCCCAGAATGGTTTGGGTTGGAAGGGACTTGAAAACACATCCAGTCCCACCCCCTGCCATAGGCAGGGACACCTTCCACTAGCCCAGGTTGCTCCAACCTGGCCTTGGACACTTCCAGGGATGGGGTAGCCACAGTTTCTCTGGGCAACCTGTGCCAGGGCCTGCCCACCCTCCCAGGGAGGATTTCTCCCCAATAACCCATCCAACCCTGCCCTCTGGCAGTGGGTAACCCTCAGTGTTCTATCACTACATACCCCTGTGGTGTGTAGGTACAGGGCACACAGGACCAGAAACATTCTACTAGAACATTCCAGCATATTTACATTGTACTGGACCCACTGCCCCATTTACCAGCCAACAATAACTACAACATTCCCTCTCATCCCAGCAGCTCCCCATCCTGAACTGATCTATGTGAGAAAATGCTCACTCTCTCCCTGTAAAAGCCCTCTGTGGCTCCCACTATCCCACTGCAGGCTCAGAAACAACCACGGAATGAGAGAGCGGTTTGGGTTGGGAAGGGCCTTGAAGGTCACGGAGATCCTTCAGGAAGGGCAGGGACACCTTCCACTAGCCCAGGGTGCCCCATCCAACCCGGCCTCGGACACTTCCAGGGACGGCACAACAACTGCGGCCTCCCCTCACTGCAACAATTTATTGCTTCAAACCAGCAAATCTTACAGTGAAAGCTGCCAACCACTGACCTCTGCAGCGACCTCTGTGCTTGTCGCTCTCTCTGCGTTCTCCTCCTCCTTCCCTGGGATTTCCAGGGGCACCGCCTGCTCCCTCCAGCCCAGGCTCTTCTGGGTGGCGAACTGCTCGAAGGCCTGCTGGCAGGACATGCGCTCCTTGTCGAACACCACCTTCTTGGTCCTGGGCACCACGTAGAGCATGGGGATGATGGGCCTGGGTTTGAAATCCTCCTCCTCCGCCGGCGCCTCCGAGGGCTGGATGATGTTGAGGGGAGCCGGGGGCAGGTTCTTCCCCGCCGCGGTCGGCACTGGGGGTACCGGGGGCACCGAGGGCCGAGCTGCCACCGCCTCGCCCTCTGCCAGCTGCTGCTGGGGGGCTGGGGGTGGCACCGGGGGCTGCACAGGGGGCTGGGGGGCTTGGAGGTGGTGCTGGTGTTGATGGAAAAGGTGCTTCTTCTTCCTCTCGCCTTTCACTTTCGGAGGACGGGCCTTCACTTTGCACTCCCCTGTTTGGAGATAGCAGGCAACAGTGAGCTCCTGTGCCCAGATCCAGTATTTAATATCTCCCTCCTTCCAACAAAGACCACAAACCTGTCCCACCATGGCACTTTTGCTCTAACATGTCCCATCATCATTGCTCTAACATGCCCCGCCATGGCATTATTGCTCCAACATTTCCCACCATGGCATTATTCCTCTATCATGTCCCATCCAGGCATTATTCCTTTAACGTGCTCCATCGTGGATTATTCCTCTCAAACAGGCCCCCTGAGAGCTGCAGACACCCAGCTGTGCCTCAGCACTGACCTAGAGCAGCCCCACGTCACAAAGAAAAGACTTGTGTCGTTTCTATGGACTATTAAATTCTTGACTGGAGCAGAAAGGCTGCCAAAATGAATGTTTCCTGGAGGGAAAAATATCTAAATCCCTAAGAAACTGGACAGCGTGCCAAAACCCATGTCATTTATTACATTAGCCCTGACTCTGTATTTCAAGTATTTTATATCAGCAGTCTCCAAAGTTGGGGGCACAAAATCATCCACTGGGGTGCGGGAAGGAAATATTTTTGTACCGTTAACAAAATAAAATATATCTTCCGAGTAGAGTTTATTTTATCTTTAGACCTTCCTTTTTTAAATCTCTGTTTTTCTGTATGTCTATAATGGACTTATCAGCACAGAAATATAAGTGTACCAGTGTATTTCTGTGCTACATATAAATAAGCATACAAATAAAGACATACATCAGGAGGTGTGCTGAATTTTTTTTTTTGCTGATAAGGAGGTGCAATCAAAAAAGTTTGGAGACCCCCATTCTGTATCATGTTGTGCTAAACCCTCTGGTCCTGCCCCATTTGCTGCTCCCTTTTATTTGCAAGCACAGCTCTTATCTGGGTATTGCTGTGTGCCAACGCATTCAACAGCCCCAGGAAATGAAGAGCTGAACAAAGACACCTGAATCATTATTACCAGAAGATTTCTACTATAAAGTCTTTTTAAAAAAGATGCCTGGAAAGCATAAATCAGGTAGAGCACTGAGCTAAGCCTGTTACAGGCACCACACCAGCACTGGGTACTGAGATATCCTTTACACTGCCCTTGTTCCTCACTCATTTTACCTGTGCAGGTCCCTCACATGGCTCTGACAACCCTTCTTGAACAGATAAACATCTCAAGATCATCATAAAAGGCCCATAAAAGACTTCCCAACGGAACTCTGTCGTGGGATCCACACTCTGATTTTCCACTGAGGGAGTGTCAGGGCAGGAGCTGCTCTCACCTCTCCCCTCTGCAATGATGTTCCCCCTGCCCAGCTCCTCCCTCACTCCAAGGATGGGGTTACCAGTTCCCCCAAAGGAAGGTAAATCAGAGGTGCTCACAGGCAGGTGACAGGGCTCAATTTCTTCCAGAGGAGATTGTTTTTCACCTGCAGATGCTGTGACAAAAGGTCATTTCCCGTCACGGGAAGGGAAGGAAGAGCTGATGACAACCAGAGACAGGTTGTTCACCCCAATAATGACATTTCACCAACCCCAACCTACCCAGACCCTTCCATTACTACCCAAACCTGACCAGCCAAGCCCAGTAAATGGAAAATCATATGAACCATCACACAAAAATGAGGTCTCTGCAGAAGGAAGGGTGAACAATCCCACAGTGAGATGAAGTGCCAACATCCCTGCTGAAATCTTCCAGGGAATACCTCAACCTCAGCATTTCCCAGAAGTCTGCTCTGATGACTTTATTTACACTAACTTATAAACATGGGAACAAGTCCAGCCCAAATAATTACAGCTGTACTTGTGCAGGCACTCCCTCAGATAAACTGGTTTGTTCTATCAGAGAGAAAGGAATATTGAATTTCCTTAGAGAAACAAACACAGTGAATGAAAGGCAAATTGGAATTCTCCCCAGTTGCACAAAACCAGATCATATTTACTCTCTATACACTCTGAGAATTCTCTCCCCAACAACACCACAAATGCCATTCACCAGCTTTATTGACTTCTAAAGGGTAATTTGACAGCAGCTGGCACGTAGAACTGGGCTTAAAAGTCATTGCATTAAGATGAACAAACGAGTTTGCAAGTGAATCTATACAATCAGAAACCAGGGAAAAGGGAGGTAAAATTCCAAGTGCCTATCCGGCTATCCTGAATATTTCTAGGAAGGAAAGGGATCTGCAGGCACAAATCCATTGTAGGTTAACAGAGGAAGGTCTTTCCTGTCCTTCCTCGTGTAGCAGAGCTGGGACACGTGGAAAACACGTGTGACAATGTGGTGTCATGGAGAGAAGAGCTGCGTGTCCAGGGATGGTGGGAAATCCTGGAGAGAGCTCAGGAAAGCTGAGGAGCGGCTGAGGGAGCTGGGAGGGTTCAGCCTGGAGAAAAAGGGGATCAGGGGGGACCTTCTGGCTCTGCAACTCCATGACAGGAGTGGGGAGCCAGGGGGAACTCAGGCTCTGCTCCAGGGAACAAGGGATAGGAGGAGAGGGAACAGCCTCAAGTGCTCTGGGCTGGGGGACAAGGTGGGGATCAAAGGTTGGACCCAATGACCTTGGAGTTCTTTTCCAACCTCAATGATTCAATGATTCTGTGACATCTTTAAGGGGAAGGGGTTTTGGTGAGGAAATCAAACCATTTCCATAGGGCCCCACCCCACAGCTTTGGGCAATGGGATTATAAACAGACGCCACAGGAGTCTGGACCTCCTCCATGCCTGGGATGGGGCAGAGAGAGTTAGAAATGGACTTCAGCCCCAGAGGGAAGGTTTGTAGGCCACTCTGCAGGACTCCTACCAGGCAACCACAGCACCACAGGCAACACCTGCTGACTCACAGGAGATATTTCTGCTGCTCAGCACCCCCAGAGAAGAGCAAAGACTAAAGACTCTCCTTTCTCGTGTCCCAAGACAAACCTGCTAAGAATTCTAAATATATTAATAGCAACATAATAAATTATGAATGTAAAGCTGAGTCACAAAAACCAAAACAAAACACCGTTAAGGGATCTGGGTCAGAAATCCTGAAAACCTCGAGTTATAAATACTCAGCTTGTCCAAATAACCAGCACGAAGCACAGGACGTACTTTGAAACCAGGATTACTCTGAAATCTCCTTCTCCCTCCTTCTCAAGGTCATCTCTCTACTGGTGTAAATAGAAACCCAAGCCAAATTAAAACCAGAGGGATAAAGAGAGGAAGCGAAGGAGGTGGGAGGGGGCAGCTGAATTGCCACGAGCAGGGCCATCCAAGCACAGATGCTCTTTTCTTTTTTCAAGATGAAACCCTAAGACACTTGTGAGAGGCAGCAGGATGTGGAAAACTAGAGAAGTCATTGGGATTTAATTGCTATATTGCAGTGAGGAAGCTGTATATTTGCTAACAGCCACACCAAGCAAGAGCCTGTGCCAGTGGCACTTGCTGCGATGGTGCTGAAAATCAGCTTTTCCCTCCTGAGCTAAGAGTTAAAGAGCTCTTAAGATGTAGTGGAAGTGTATGATTTGGAACCTATTCAGCCAGAACAGAGTTTTTATTGTTCCTTGGCCATTCTAATGATCTCAGATCTGTCCCTGTCACTTATCTCTTGTCTCCGAAGAAAAATCAGCATTTTCGGGCCATTTATTCCAAGCATCAAGTGTTAAACTTGTACAAGAGCTCAGAGCAGACAATTTAACACACTGCTGCTGCTTCCAGGCTTAGGGCAATAGAAATTAACTGTCTGCACTGTGCTGCTGCTCTGTGCAACAATGATTCTCCAGCTCCTGATTTCCCCTGAAAAGAGAAAATACACTGTCTAGTTAAGAGACTCTGGAACTGAACAAAGCCCTCCATTCTCTTCCCAGAGCTTCCATAGATTTCCTTTAAGATCATTATCAAGGTCCTCTGAACACTTTGCAGCATCAGTTTCTCCAAGTGCTAAACAAATAAAGAATGTATACAACAGATTAAAATTAATTCACTTCTCGGAGGAGCCTCAAAGAGGGAGTGTATCAGACACAGCAACCACTTACCCACACGCATTATCAGGGGGAAAAACAGCTTTTTCCTGGCAAAAATGGCAACCTTTGCTACACAGCCAAAGAAAAGGTGTCACAGGAAGAGCCTCCTCCTGCTCAGTGGGTGAGTTCAGGCCTTGGGAATAACCATGTGCAGAGGGAATCCCAAAGGATTTGGAGCTGCCACGGACTGGTTTTAATTTCAGCCTGGCAAAGGAAGCTGAAAAGCTTCCCTGCTCCAGCTGGACTTGAAGAAACCCAAGTGGGACTCGTGCAGCAGCTGTGGATCCCCCCCAACCTAAAGCTCCCTGGATTCAGTCTGTGAGAAACGGGAACAAAGGGAGGGAGAGAGGAAAGATGAACTGCACAAGGCAGTGCACAAATCAATCCTTTCCACGAAAATATATTTTATTTGTTTCCCTATGAAATATTTTTTTAAATATTCCTCCCATCATATATATTTTTAATAAACCTGTTACAGTTTCAAACCCTGCCAAGAAAGCCACTGGGACTGAATCCTTAAGGAGAGGGGAAAAAAAATCAATTGCTGCTGTGAATGATGGTGTATTCCAGTGAGCATGGATTTAATACTGGGAAAAACTCTGCTGATATTTCAACACAAATAAACAGCAGCACCGGTTATTTACAAAGGTGTTTTAGAGAGATAACTTGCCCCCAGCTCCTCACTGCCACCAGTGAGCAGGGCCCTCACCTTCTCCCTCAATCCCTTTGCTTCTCTCCTCTTCCTCCAGGTCTGTCCCTCTTTTCAGCTCCTCTTTTACTTTCACGTCTTCCAAGGCAGTTTCAATAGCCATGACATCCCCAAGAGACTTCTGATCCTCTGTTTTGTGTCTTCTGTGTTGACTCTTTTTTCTGTGAGACCTGGAAGTACAAAAGTGGGATTTGACATGAAAGCACAGCCTTCAATACAGAAAAGCCATCAGTGACTTGAAAAGCTGAATACAAAACAAAAGGATCTTCTTCGGAGTGAAAACACAAGGTAGTTAAAATAGCTACAGGGCAAAGGAGATATCTGAAAGGGAGCAGATGAACCTTGCATAACACAACATTTAAGATCCATTCTTGCAGCCATTAATTGTCTGGGTTTCCTGAAGAGCTTTTTCCCACCATTACTAATGTGTGCTCACAAGCTGCAGTTAAAGTGATTTTAATTGTGGTTTAAATCTATTTTGCTTGTATTTCAAAATACAGATGAAAACTTGTTTAAATCACCCTTTCATCCTCTGCCTCCATTCCATTATTTCGGTTCATTCTGGCCGTGCTTCCCTTTGGCAAACTGCTGGAAGTCTGCAAAGCATCATCTTCCAGCTCTGAGACATTACCCAGCACTGCCAGTTCCTAAAAACACACTGTAATGAATGTTCAGAGCAAAATCAATAGGCAGACTATGATTATTCAGTGGTACAATTCACAAGGTCCAAGGCCTTGGAGAAATCTACCTAAAAAATATGTATATTAATATGATCAGACTAACACTAATGAGCCAATAGCAGTGCTGTTCATTCTTTTTAAAGTCAATGCCACCAAGGCAAAGAGATTACAGTGGCCACAACGCAAGGAAAAATGCAAATTCAGAAGTCAGGATGATATTTTTTTGGTTGGGAACAGTAGGAAGCCAAGCACCCACACAGGGAGGGAAAGCAGGAAGAACAAGAGCCAGAGAACTTGTAAGTCAAGACAAATGCAGGTGAAGGAAAGAGGAAAGAATAAAAAGAGAAAGAAATAAGCCCAGGAAATCCACTCACCGCATCCCACAGGCAGAGCAGTGCCCAACCAGTCCCCAAACAACCCCCACCTCGGAAACCAAACCCCTCCTTCTTCCCCTCTCCCAGTTTTTATGGCTCATCATCACATTTTATGGTACAGAAGCTCCCTTTGGCCACCCTGGGCCAGCTGTCCCAGCTGGGTCCCCTCCCCATCTCTCACCCACCCCACAGAGTGGGGGGGAAATAAAGCTTTGACACTGTGCCAGCAACAGCCAAAACATCAAAGCCTTCTGAGCACTGGAGTAGCCACAAATCCCAGCAACTCCATCCCAGCCCAGTGTTTTTACAGAACCTACCCACTAGCTCCTTGAATTTTGAGTTTAAGTCTAACATGCTCTCTTTTCAAAAGAGATGGATTCAGAGAGTTGCAATTTTTACCCCGTTTTTAGCACGCAGACACTTTTTTTTCTTTGGTTGAAAGCAGCATTTTCCATATGGCCTCACATCCAGCATGGTGTGACAAACAGCAGAACACAACCACTGCATCCATCAGCCTCAAAACGCACAAAAGCTGCAGCTCAGCTTCCCATCCTCAGAGCCCAGAAATTCGGCTGCTAATTGGATTTGGAGCACAACAGAATTAAGGGCCCTTAATCAGGTAACTGCCAAAAGGAGGGAGAAAAAAAAAAAATTCCACCTGAGATGGAAGATGAATAGAAAAGCAGGTTGATCCATATGCACAGTGATTTCTAATTGCCAGACTCTGAGCATATGGTGGCTCTCCAAGTATAGATGTTGCCTTCACACCTGCAAGACAGTCATTAGCAGGAACACAGAGCTGAACCCAAAAGGATCAGCTTTGCTCTTCACCCATATTCCAAGTACACACCACCTTCCCTGGAGGGGGGGGGAAGGTCAGGTGGGAGGAGAAAATAAAGCTGTGAGACTCTGTCACTGCAGCTGGAACTTTTTGGAGCTGAAGAAAGCAGCAGAGTGGTGTTACAAGCTGGTTTTAGGAAAGGGTGTTTTATTCCTACGGTGTGGAAATGCCAGGCAAAAATTGCAGCACAAACCTTTGTACTCACAGGAGATAAAAAAAAAAAAAAAAAGGATCTTTTGGCAGTGCTCTCCTCACTCTGGAGCTGTGGGGAAGAGAGGCAGAAAGCTCCACTTTTAAAGAAACTGCTTCCAGAACTGCAGGCTGAAGGCTGAGCAGTTTGTGAGGTGAAGCTGTTCTGGGTCTGCCACAATTCACACACCACAAATGGGCTGCTGGGGACTGGACTGGGCTGAAACAGCCTCTTGCTGAAGCCACAAAGTAAACAAAGTTGAGTTTTTCAAGGTAACTAAGTCTGACTGACCTTAGAGAAGAAATAACACATCTCTGCAGAGTTTAAAAGCTCCATTTTCCAGGAGAGCTGACAAAAAAGCAGCATTTGTACTCTTTGAAGAACAGACCACAAAGTGACTTAAATTAAGTAGCTACAACTGTGAAGAGGTTTGGGCAGAGGTGAATCCCATCCCTCCATCCTGCTGAGAAAAATCAGGCTTCAAGTGAAATGATGCCTTGGAAAGACATAAGCACAGGAGAGAAAGTACTGCTAAGGAGTATTGAACAGCTTCAAAACTGCTTCAGGATAATACTGAAATAATCCAGGAAACACTGAAGAGATAAGGAAAAAAATGTACCTGGATCTTTTGCAATAGGCTCAGGCTGAGAGGCTTCTCTGCTGAGGGAAAATAATCCTTGGTGTTCATACAGTGCCTTACACTGTGCAAATATTTATATATATAGAAGTAACCCTTAACAGTGACAGGCAGTAAAGAGATTCCCGATTTCCAGATGAGGAAGAAAAAGCTCCAGAGACCCACTGGAGTTCAGTCATTGCCCAGAGAGCACAAATGGCAACCTCCTGACTCTGAGATTGCACTGCTTTTCCTGCAGCTCATTATAGGAGGAATAGCTGGAAACATCTGAGGAATGTAACCTCTGGAGCAGAGCAATATTGCAGAGGTCAGTCATCTGCCAAATGCCATATTTATCGTGTCTTTTGGAGCATGGATCTAGTGGGGAACACACCTTTCCACTTCAGCATTTGTAAAATCATACTGGACAAAACATTTCATGTAGGAAACGCAAGTCACAGGACCCCCAGTCCAGTGGGGTGACTGAAACTCCTGGAAGACAAACAGTAGTGATGGAGAAAGAGAGCTAACATACTACTAAAAGTGACTCTTTCTTTGATAAAATGCCTAAATACATCAGCTACCATCCAATTATTAGGTTTTTAAATTGTTACTCGCAGTCCTTATCAAAGATGGCCCCAGGAACTTATTTAACTTTTTTTTTTTTTTTTTCCCCCTGGATTTCCAAGCAGTGATACTGGAAGTGAAATTACCAGCAGAAGATTACAAGTGGATGAAGCAACACAATCTCCCAGAGCCTGCCAATGCTCTCAACCAGGAATTTAACAAAGACCAGATGAGAGCAGAAAGAAACCACGTGCTGCACTGCAAGTGCTTTGGGGAACAGGAATGAGAAAGGTGTAAAAAATGAGAATATGGGAGAATATGGAAGGGCACAAACTTCACCTCAATTTCTTAAAATAGAGAATCTCATTCTTGAAGTAAGCCTGAGGAGGAAGGGAAGTTCTCCCACCACCAGCCTACATCCAAACCCCTCCAGTTCAATTCCACTCTGAATTTTTATCAGTCACCTCATCCACAACCAGTTATCATCACACACCCCTACTGGTTCAGTAGATGAACTCAAGAGTGAAAACCAGAGCAGGCATGAGACAGCTGAGGGTCTCCAGTGACACAAGAGACCACAGAAGAACTACCCCAAACCAAGAGGAAGCCTTGGGAAACCTCAATGCCCAAAGATTTACCGTGAGTTTTCAAAGAAGGTGACATGAAAAAAAAAAAAAAAAAAAACAACAGTGACAAAAGGAAAACACCTCCAGAGTTGCTATTTTAGGAAACTTGACAGGAGAAAAGAACGAAGAGATTGAAGCTGAGGAGGGAAGTCACGTACCGGTGTTTGTTGTCCTCTTCCTCATCTCCTATCCTACAAAGCAAGATTCCAACAGGAAAAGGTTAGCACGCCAAATTTTCACCTCAGGCAGTGCTGTTAACACACAAAACCCACAGACTTGGAGAAAATTAAGACAGATCAAAGGAAGCACAGAAAGGCATGCATAAAATCCCTTTTGCAACTGATGGGGCACTTTTTTCCCCCCCCCCTCCTGCTTTCTGATAAGTAAAGCTTTAAATGTTTACTATAGATTTTTTTTTTTGTCTTCCAGGATGAGATGAGATGTGAGGGGGCACCCGGTGTCCTACTTTGGAAAACAGTGTGCTTTTATAACATTTAAAGGAAAGAGAACAATGAGGGACACATTACCCAAGACAAATTACAAGAGGAATTGTATGAAAAGAACAAAGCGGGGGGGGTGTGGGGTGTGAAAGACTTTGAACTATGTCAAACTAAGAATTACAGCATTTAAAATCTCGGCAATTAGAATCAAAGTGCTCAGGCACAGCGACGTTTTCTCTTTACCTGCGGAGCAATTTGGCCTTCAGCTCTGCCTTTGTCTCGTTCCAGGCATCCAGTTCTGGGCTGGTCAGAGCTGTGGGTTTCATGTGGTCCAGGACAGCGATGTCTTTTCCTTGTTTCCACAGATCGTACCGTTCTGGCTGCAGGACCCTCACAAACACGTCCATGGAGATCTTCACCATGTCCTTGCGGCACGTGCACTGCGAGAGAACCACCCCCCCAACACAGGACACGTCACTCTGAGGGACTTTCCTCACCTCCTCAGCCAAATTTCCCTTTCTCCAGAGGCAGATGAACAGGGCAGTTAAACTTCTTAACGACACACCACGACATTGCACATCAATCCTGGGCAAGAGTTGAGAAATAAATCTACAACAGTAAGTACAACCTGCACCTAAACCACGTGGGCAGAGGGAGAAAATGTGAATTATTCATCTCGACCGGCCTATGCTCGTTAAAACTAACCTGGAAACCCAGGTGGTTTTCCTTGGAAATATCCATTTGGTGTGAGGAAGCACTGGGGATTCTCACCCCTGGACACCAGTCTCGATCAAAATGAGCATTTAGTCTTTATAAACTTAATCAAAGGAAGGTAGAGGGTGGAAGAGGACACAGGAACCCCTCAATGCCCTCGTGGCTCTGGGGGCTGCAACCTCAGCTCTGCTTTTTGCGAGTGGCTGAGCCCCCTTTTAGCCCTGCTCTAAGGGGTAAAGCTTTGCAGGGTGTGAACTCTCACCAAACTGAGTTTCAGCTTTGAGGTTGAGGTAATTAGAGCCACTTTGCAGGACTGGTTTGGGCGTTTTTTTCACCCTTCACATCTTTTCAAAATGGTTCTACCCATTCTCTTCACAGAAACGCCTGAAATTAAACCTGTTTCTCCCTTTCTTCCTTCACTTTTCACCACCTTTATTAACAGATTTATGACTGTAGTTAAGAAGCCACTGAGAGAGGGGGAAAAGAGCCTTTCTGCACAGTTCTCCACTATCCCACTTCCTCCTGTTTTCCATGTTGCAAGGACCTCTGGCTGCTTCTGCTGCTCCGACTGGGACAGCGCCGGTAACCCGAGTGGGGAGCAGCATTTATGGACAGGAATTTTCAGGAAAACATCATTCATTTAATGAAAAATAGCGCAGGACAGAAAGGCTGGAAATGCAATTCGGCCCAAGCACGGCAGGAACACAAATGGCACCCGTGGCTTCAAATTCCAGCCCAGGCAGGAGCTTCCCAGCGGCACCTCCATCAATCCTGGCTTAAGGGATTTGTACTGAGCAGGTTTTCAGTCATTTTTTTCCTTCAGGAAGTTGAAAAAGCACCTGTGCAGGGCTACAAAGAGGAACAGAGAGGAGCATCCCCCAGCACACAGCAGCAATGAGCTCTGGGGATTGAGCTGCTCAGCCTCCACAGAGGATGAAAAATGGCTTAAGAGGGGAGCGGGTCCCTTTTGTGATGCTGACCTGGAACCAGCAGGTCCACACACAGGTCATGCCTTCAAATCCAGCAGAGCAAATCCCGAGGCACAAGGGTCTAAAGGCCTCCAGAGCAGTTTTCCAACCAGCAGCAGCAGTTTAAGAGTCTCCCAAAAGCGTCCACAAGGATTATTAGGGGGAGCCCACACGCCGAGCTCTCGGAGCGCTGACTCCGTGGGCTGCATCTGCCACCTCCCACACCACCAGCAGCCTCTGCAGCAGCTAAATGCCTTTCTTTACACAAATCCACCATGATGTATGTTTATACTTCAATTTTAATTTAATTCTATTGCTTTCACACCAGCAGGCATGAATAATTTAGCAGAGCCTCTTTCCTCTGGGGCTTCTTCCGGACCGTGCAGTTTTATTTCCTCAGCTGCTGCAGTTGTGTCATATCCACGTTCCCATCATGGGCTGGAGATTTTTCCAGCCCCTGCCCCTCAGACAGCAGTGAAATCCTGCTTGATGCAGCAGATGCTTCCAATACAGCTGGAAAAGGGGAGGTGCACGTGGGTGTGAGGGGTGGCAGAGGGAGAATGGGGGGATCAGGAGGAGACTGTGGGTAGAGAAGGGCAAGAAATTGCTTTTCCAATTAATTAGCTGCCCCAATCCATTAGAGCAGGGCAAAACTGGCAAGGTTGTGTTTCCTGGCAATGACATCCAATTCCACATATTGCCTTCCCCCTTCCATATACACAGAGTAATATTTCTTTCCACGTATTTAACTGTGGTCATAAACACACATATTTCCTAACAGATATTATGTCTCCACACCCCCCATCTCTGTCTATCCCTATCCTAATTTCTGCAGAACAAATCCTTCCACATTCCCTCAAACTCCAACACTTCTATATCCCACTATAATTAAAATATTATAGAAAAAAAAAAGAATAAAATCGAGCATGTCCACACTTAAACACCATCGAGAGAAACAAAACCTCATTTTCTTTCCATGAACCAAAAGCAAAAGTTTGGGAATTCACAGAATTCCTATGGACCAGCAGCCCTGGGAAGGATTTCAGGGTGACATGAGCACCCAAAGCACAGCCCTGCACTAAATGGCAACGCCTCTCATGTCAGAATGAGAAATTCAAGGAACTCTGGGATCTAATCAAGTCTCATCTCCGTCATTCCCCATTTGGCAGCCAGACCCCCACTCCAGGCTCCTTGGGAGCAGCAGGGCTGGCAGAGCCACAGCTCAAACAACTCAGTAAACACCAGAATATTCCTAACTGGCATCTCCAAGGACCAGCTGCAAGTCCTGAAAATGGGGGTGGGGGAAAAAAAAACCCAAACCAAAATTCAACCTGGTTTTCCAGCTGGCTCTTTGCCTTTGGCTACAGGGGAACAAGAGCAACAAGGCAAGGCTTTCCACATTCACCAAAATCTGCAGGAACTTAACTTGTTCCATCTTCTGAAGGCTTTTCCCAGCCTCCCCTCTCCTTTTCCATCAGTTAATGGCTTTGCTAACCATAAGCACATGCAAAGGCAACTTGCAACCCAAGCACATGGAAAAATACTGTGAGGAAATGCACAATTAAGCCCTTTTCCAACCCAGAAACCCAACGTTCTTCTTCTCCTTATTATTTCATTATCTGCTACTCCAATTTGGAGCCTGTGGTAAAATATGTGACCACACCAGGAGACCTGTCCCATCAATTCTAACTCCAAGACTGGCAGTGGGAAATTTGTGGCTGTTGAATGCACAACCATTATCTTATTTGCAGCAGTTTCTAACATAAAAACACATATAAAATACAAAAAAACTATGTAAAATAACAGTCACATAAAACTACTGTCTCCTTGAAGTAATAAAATCAAATGATATATGGAAAAATGCACTAATTCAACCTCAACCATCAGCATTAGTTATTTAAGGATATTTCCCTCAGTTCCCAGCTATTAACACTAAACTCAGCACCTCCATAACACATAAAAAGTTAATGTAAAATAAGCCTTTTCCATATGTAGAAATAGTCCCAAAAATTATACATTTAAAGTGGCACCTCTGGTTCTCCCAAAAAAAAAAAACCTTCTTATTTAGATGAAATTGTTGATAAGACACAGCTGAGTCTTTTTTGCCTTAATGGAAATTTAAATACAAAGAACCCCAGCAGGCTCAGAGTTGAAGTTCTTTCAGCTATTAAATCCCAGAGAAAAATCTCTGCTGAAAGCTTTTTCTATCAGCTTTTCCCAACAATGAAGCCTAAAAGCAAGTTCCTGGGAAGGAGGGGATGGTTCTGTTCAAAAGGCAGCCGAGAAACTCTCGCTGTGTAATAGAGGAGCACACACTGCTAAGGCAGACAACACTCCCAAGCTTTTTTCCATACATTTCCAGGAAAAAACAGAGAGTTTCAGCTTTTGGGAGTCCTCCCAGAGCGATGCTCTTAAGCAGAAACCCAGTTTGTCACCACATTCCAGGGGTGTTACTGAGATCTGGTTCAGACTCATCCAACAGGACAGAGCAAACCAGTTTGGGTTCTGGTTACCTTTCCCTTCCCCTCAGCCTGAAAGATGAATGGCAGGTATTCTGCAAGGAAATAAGGAGTTAAACTCTGAGGAGAAGCAGGAAAAACCCAAACTGCAGAGCTGGTGTGTTTAATGGTTGGTAGTTGAAAGCTTGTGGGAAGGAAGATGAGTCTTGACCCCCCGTTTCCAGCATAATTACCGGCATCGCCGTAAGTCTCAACAACAAACCAGTTCATTAGGAAACCCACTGGAAACCCTTCCCAGAGCTTCATAAACAAAACAATTAGGCAAAGATTTCCATGGACTCCCCCTGGTCCCTGGCTGCAGGGCACACTTTCTCCTTGCCTGCCTCCTTAACGTGCTTCCAGGCGGATTTCTGTGGGCAGAGGGAGTTGGGTAAGTGGCAAGTGGGGAGTCAGACTCATCCCACTCATAAGAAGAGGATTCTGGTTTAAGACATGATCTAAATGCTGTGTGGCTTGTTTCATTGCAGGCAAATGAAGTAACAACCCATCCCAATGGGAATCAGGCTTCTGCTGAGAGAGGACGTGGAGATTTCTCCTTTTTCCTGTTTGCAACCTCTGCCACAATTCTTTATCTTTCACTATTCCATAGACTACACCTGCAAGGATGCTCCTGAATCCATCTCCAGTGCACACAGTCCTCACTCCTGCAAGACAAACAGGGGGACCTGAGTTATGTGTCTCTGAAGTGGCTGGAAGAGCACAGGAGGAGGCTCAGAGCTCCCAGCAGCACTGCAAGAGGAGAACTCAATAAAGCACCAGCTCCCTCCTGCTTTGACACACTCATCCCAGCACAAGGGATAAACAAATCAGGCCTTTTCTCCAGTGCTTGTGACACAGTCTGTAGTGCATCCCCAAAGTCCTTGGCACAGGAATGATTGGGGCTGGGATCCTTATGAGGGACCCCTGTGAGAGGGAATCAGCTGCAGGGAGCATGTCCTTCCCAAGGGGATTTACTGCAGGCACAGGACACACGACCCACACTGCTCAGAAATCCCAGGGAGGGACTGGGACACTGTGTCAGCCCTGCAGCATCAACCTCCAGGGGTTCAGGGCAGCTTTCCATCCTGGAGAACAGCAGTTCCCATCCTGGAGAACAGCAGTTCCCATCCCAGGGAACAGCAGCCACCCCGGGCTGGAAAAGCCATGACTAAGCAGCACCAAAAAAAGAGCATCCTTCACACCTTGCAGTAATTAAGCTCAAGTAAATTAGGCTGAGGAGCATTTAAAATTGACCTGGTCTGTATAAAAAAAAAAAAAAAATCAGTTTGAAACCCCCCATTTTGGTGGTCAGGGCTAGGCCAAGCTCTGAGCAGGAGGGAGTTGAGGTGCCTGAAGCCACCACTGTCCCCCCAGGCTTGTCCCATTTCCTGTGAACAAAGTCCTGAACAGTTTATAATATATAATATATAATATATAACAACAGTATCTAAGTCTGGATTTCAAGCCAGTCTCTCTCAGATGCCCCTTCTCAAGGGCAGGACATGCAGAAGGGCCAGGTACCTGCTGACACCCATCCATCTGCTCCGGCAGCATCCCAAGGACTGGAATCCTGGAAACCTCCAGGTATTTATTGTGCTGACACAACTCTCAGAGTTCTCCCCTCATTAACAAAAATCACGAGCAGAACCTGCCAGTCAGTCCCTTCAGAAGAGGAGCTCAGAAAAGAACTCCTAACACACAAAGCTTCGAGACAGTCCCTAAAAAAAAAAAAAAAAAATAACCATCTCCTTTCCACCTCAGCAGGAAAAACCCTGCAAAAACTCCTTTTTATCGCACAGAATCAGTGCTTTGCCAAGAGTGAGGCATTAGGGGTGTTTACAAATAATACAAGAAAATAAGTAGGAAAAAAAGGTGGAAGATTTTGTACAAGAGCAACTTCGAATCTGTCTGATGAAAATAAACCACGGAAATGTTATTCCATAATAGATTTTTTTTTTAATGTATTGTAAGCTTAAAAGGTCTAATTAGAGTAAAAGAGCAATTCTGAATGTCTGACAAAAATAAAATATGGAAATGCTATTTCATGAAGAGATTTTTTTATGTGTTCTGAGCTGAAAAGGTCTAATTAGAGTCAGTTAAGGCATTGACACAAAGGAATGCAAAGACACGATTCTGATTTCCTTTATTTTGGGGAGCAATTTTACAGTATTACCAAACAGTTTCTGCAGGGAAAAAAAAATCCTCACAAATTTTATTTTCTTGGGAAGTACTGATGTTATAAGGGGAAACCTACTAAGCTCTGAGCAGTAAGAAGAAAACTTATATTTTCCATGGAAAATTCTATGCCAGACAACCTCAGATCACAGATATTGCACATATAAATTTGAGATTATTTCAATAATATATATATGACAAGAGAGGAGAAGGTTTGGAAGCAATAAGCCACGTAGAAGAGCATAAGCTGAGACCCAAAAGGTCCCTGTTTTGAAGATGCCTTTGTAGATCAGTAAAATCCAAATGCAAATGTCTTGTTTTCCCCTTCCCTAAATGACTGAGCAGCAGAGCAGGAAGGGTTTTATGGGAATACTGCCTGGGATGAGACAAAGGCTACTTATTTCAGAACCTAAAATGCAGGATTTGGGAAGGAAGGGCAACTTGACCCTATTTTATATCGAGATAGATCATTCCAGCAGTACCCCTGGAGTAAAGAGGAGATAAATGAAGGTATGAAAGTGTTGACAGGAACCCAGAAGTTACCCAGGAGTGTCTGTGCAGGAGTTGTTCCCCTCCCATCCACTTATTTCCAGTCCAGTTTGCAAAAGAAATTGAAAAGCTGACCTGGGACTTGATTTTCTGCTAAAATTGTACAAAAATTGTACAAAGAGAAAGCAGTTTTTTGTCTAGCAGGGGATTTAGAGGTCACCTCGACTCGGGGAAGGGCATTTTACCGATCCTTCCACTCCAGGCTGGTTATTGTGTATTTTTTACAGCCTGGGCAGGTTTCTCTGTGGTCAGAACATTCCACCCATCTGGCAGGGAATTAGCCCAGCTCTGCCTGTGTTTCTCCAAGGTGAGCCATTACCTTCCTCTCTCTCACATCACTGACATGCAGAGCTCTCAGTAGAGCAGAAATCAGATTTCCTCCCCAGGATGATGTCCAGGAGAACATTAAACAAGCGGCTAATTATGAACCTTGCCTCGTCACCAATCTCAGAAGCGCTGGGAGGACAAGAGAGCTGAGCTGATCACCCAAGGAATGGAGGGAATCACCTGCAGCCAGCTGGTTTAGTGCAGGAACAGCAGGTTCCTGCAGAGCTGAGAGTCCCCAGGAACTTGATCAAGGAGTAGATGATCAGGAAGAAACCAAACCTGTTGGATGTGGGCAAGGATAACCTAATTGTGCCTGAGAGCACAGAAATCACACACTGGAGGATTGTGGATTCACAGAATGGTTTGGGTTGGGAGGGACCTAAAAGATCATCAGTTTCCAACCCCTGCCATGGGCAGGGACACCTCCCACTATCCCAAGCCCTGGCCAACCTGGCCTTGGACACTTCCAGGAATGGGGAGTCCACAACCTCTCTGGATAATCTGTTCCAGGGCCTCACCACCCTCCCAGGCAAGAACTTCCCTCCACGTTTCCCCCCCCCCCCACAAACACCAGGGCAGCTCCAGTTTCCACCCTCAGCTGGCATTTCATGAAGCCCTCGCTTAACTTCAGATGAGATTTAAACAAACCTCGTGCCCTCACAGGTGCACCAACACTCACCCCTCCTCTGGAGCACAACACCCAGCTCCCCGAGGGTTAACTGGCGTGTGATTTAAGCAGTATTAACCAGAAAGCTCAGAACAGACAAGTGGCACCGAGTGCAATGGGAATAAATGTGGCATCTCCTTCCACACTTCCCCTTCCCCTCCCCAGGTTTGCTCAGAGCTCTCGCTGCTGCTTGTTCAGTAATTTCACGCTACGCTGCTTAACAATGTAAGCATGGAGGCTCCATCTAAAACTGCACTTCCCAAATGTCACTTGTTTGGGAACACATGGCTGAGCCCAAAATTGCTTTTAATATTCGAGCGGTGCCCGCTGGCACTGCTGTAGTTAAAGGGCTGCAAGAATTTTCCCTGATAAACCCCATTTTCTGGGGTGTAAGAGCAGCACCGTTTGCTACAGATAAACCTGCCAGACAAGGTCACAGCACACGAACCCCATTCTTTGCATTTCTGAACCAAGGTTGCTCGGCTGTTTTTTGAGTTCGAGACGCTTGGTTTAAGGTTTTTCTTACGGTTTAAGGTTTTTCTTACCCTTCCTTTAACTCCAGAACAAATTCAAATGTAAGACCCATCCCTGGAAGTGTCCAAGGCCAGGCTGGACGGGGCTTGGAACAACCTGGTCTAGTGGAAGGTGTCCCTGCCCATGGCAGGGGGTGGGACTGGATGGGCTTTAAGGACCCAATGAAATAATAAAATCTGCTTATTTTAGAAGAATAAGAAAGGATTAAGCTGCATTACAAAAGTTACAGACTCAAGCTGAGTTGACAGAAGAAAAAGAAGTGAAGGAGATATTACAAGTGCCATTCTAGGGGTAAAACTGAGTCTTTCTTTCTGCAGAGGAACATCTGAGGCAATTTTCAAGCGCCACCCCTTCCGTATTCATTTCTCTTTTGCCCAAAGACTGTGTGGAACTGATCCCTAATTTAAAAAATCACAGGTTCATCAAATGAGCTTTGCTGATCGGTTGTTCCCCAGACTCCACAACAGGAGAATGCAGGAGGTGTGTTGTGGCAAAACCAAAGTAACAAAACACAGCAGAAATTTGCCCTAATGAGAAATAACCACATATTTCAGCCTGACTCCCCTCTCCAAATGTAACTTGAGTGCACAGATTAGAGGAATTCAGCTACTTTCAGGATGTTATTACCATAGTCTTATTAAAGCTTAAAAAGTATTTCCAGCTTATTCCTTCCCCTCCAGTGTGCACCTAATGAGTTGTACTGGGTTACATCAGTCACCTCACTCACTGTGAAATGCTGTTTGGCTGCATCAGAAAGCTACTTCCAAATTACCAATCTCCAAACAACCTGTTTTGTAACGCCCAGCACTCGAGAAAGTCCCCACTGCACCCTCAGAAGGACAGGAACTACCAACAGGAATAAAACAGCCACGTGGGATGGTGAAAGAGCACATCACGATGGCACTTCCCGTTCTGTCCTTAAGCCTCCCTCTCTCATTCCTCTGTTATTTCATGAGCTGGTGGTTTCAAACAACACTTCATCCCAGCTGACACCTACTTGGGTTGCCATTTTTCCGTAGTCAATCCATCTCAGAGTGGCGAAGTTGGTGGACTCGGCGCAGTTGAAGCCGTGGTTGAAGCCAGCGTGGTATCCGTAGGGAAAGGTGATCATGAACTCTCCGGCTTCCTGGGTGATCTGGAAAACAGAGGCAGAGGGAGGAGACATCCCACAGGTCAGATAATGTGCAGAATAGGGACCTATTAAAAATATTCACCAGTTAAATCTCTTTCTTTCAACTGAGCAAGGCAGCAGGACAGTCATTGCCAACTCCTGGCTAAACCTGGGATAATTCCTGGACAACTGCAAAGATACTGAAGTATTTCTCCTAAGGAAAAAACCCAGAACAGTGGATGGAAAGGGCACAAGCCCTGAACTATTTACACCCACAGGTTCTAGTTAAAAGGGTCTCAGGCTGCAGCATTCCAAGAGATCAATAAATCCTCTGACTGTGACCACTTTGGCTCATGGCAGGTCCAAACCTACACTCCCACCACCAGGCCAGAGGAGCCAAGAACTCTGGATTTCCCTCCTCCACAGGGCAGGGTCCTACTGAAGCACCTCCTGCCTTTCACTGGATTTATTCCCCCACTCACATTTATCAGCCTCACTCCCATTTGTTAACCCAAAAGTCAAACACCTCAAAAATTACAGCCCATCATTTGTCTGCTTTGGGAGTTGCCCAGAGAAGCTGTGGCTGCCCCAGCCCTGGAAGTGGGCTGGGTTGGAGCAATCCTGGGATGGTGGAAGGTGTTCCTGCCCAGGGGAGGGGTGGAACTAAAATGGTCTTTAGGGTCCCTTCCAACCCAAACCATTCTGTGACTCTACTTATATTAAAATTAAACAACAATAAGCACTATGGCCATCATTAAAAAGGGTTAAAATCTACAGCTGGAACCAGAGGCCAAATAAATCTGTGATGCTTCTGAAAAAATCCTCTTTTTGCATCTTTTGCAGAGAAGCCATTGGGGAAACAAGGAATTTAATTGTTAAGAGTCTGGAATGACTCCTGAGAGCAACTGGATGTACCAGAGTGGGCTGGGAGCAGCTCCCCCAGCTCAGCTCTTGTGTGCCAGCTCCTCCCTTCCCACGGATCAGCAAAGAGGCAAAGCTTGACCTTCCCTGCCTTTCCAAGCCAGAAGTGCTGACAGACCTTTCCCAGCAGTCACATGCCAGGCAATTCCATTTGGAGCCCTTCCCACCGGCCATAACTCACAGCCCAGCAGTTCAGAGATTCCAAAGGACTTGCACTTCTCAACACAAGGATGGGCCCAAGTGGAAAATGTAAACAGAGAGAGAAGTTCAAACACTCTTCACTTGGCTGGGCCAACATCTCAACTTGCTGATGTTGTTAACATTCATAGAATAGTCTAAAAAAACAGGTAATGAAACCTGCTGTGATAACACAAGAAGCTCCTGCAGGATTCCTGGGTGGGTTGCTCGAGTCCAGCCTTCACCCAGAGCATCCCCCCCCCATCCATCCCCTCCGTAAATCCCAGCAGTGCTACAGCTGTAACTCCAGAAGACACAAAGATTATGTCGCTGTCAGTAAATCTCCATCCTGGTGTCTTCATTTCAAGCCCACAGTGTGTGTCAGCCATGGCACTGCTGTCAACATTAGCCCACAATAAATTAGAAAGCCCTCAAGATGATGGATAGGCCATGCAGAAAAGTAATAACTAGTGAAGGAAAGCCAGCACAAACTGCCACTCATGGAGAAAGCCCCGAATTTACTGACTCCTGCAAGCTCTTGAGGAATAAATGGAGAAATCAATAGGAGATTACAGAAATACACATTTTTAATTATTAAAAAGCCCTCCTATTGATCTGGTTCTTTTTTTTTTTTTTTTTTCAGAACACCATTATAGAGATTTATAAATGCTGCCTATTCACTTCATTGAAATCTGCCAAGAATTCAGATGGAGGGATCCCATCTCTATTCCCAGAGAAAAAAAAAGGGCACTTGTTCCCTGTTTGTGAATAATACTGATCCTCCTTCAAAAGCTCCTATTTCAGGACAGGAAGCTTCAGACACAGGTTGCTCAGACTGAAGAGATCTCCTCCTTTTCACACCTAAAAAACAGCTTTCTGGGGAGTAATTGTCATAAAAACACACTGTAAATCAGGATTAGGAATTATATTTAAGTAACATGCTATAATAACTATAAGTATATTTAAGGAGCATGCTATAATAATTCTATGTAAGTATATTTAAGGAACATGCTATAATAATTATATTTAAGCAACTTGCTTTAAAAAAGGCAGTTTGGTGTTGACATCAATACTGTGCTCTGTGGAGGGTGGGCAGGCCCTGGCACAGGTTGCCCAGAGAAGCTGTGGCTGCCCCTGGATCCCTGGAAGTGTCCAAGGCCAGGATGGAACAACCTGGGACAGTGGGAGGTGTCCCTGCCCGTAGCAGGGGGTGGCACTGGATGGGCTTTAAGATCCTTCCAAGCCAAACCACTCTGGGATTCTGTGAGATCGGTTTGGCCCAGGAATCCTTTGCCACTCCCCACATCCACGGGCTCCGTGTGCTGGGAACAGGCAGCACAGCAGAGGTTTGACTGATCCTGCACAGATACAAATCCCTGTAAGCCTTGGCTGAGGAGATTTACTTCAGAAGACTTTAAGAATAAGCACATTAAAACGATCATGCCAAACAAACATGACCCCTCAGCTCCAATAAGAGGGTTTAAGAGACTCAGGGATCCTTCCAGGCTTAGAGCAACACGAGCACTTACACAACAGGGAACCAGCACATCCAGCCTGGGCTCCTACTGGATCCACCAGGAAAAAAAGAAGTGTTCCTGACTCACCAAAGAGCTTTGCTGCTTGCTGATGAGCCAGAAGATCTGAATTAACCTGTCCCTCCCTACCTGAGAGGCTCCTGAACTTCAGGGGAAGCTTTTCTTCACTTCCCAGTCTCAGCCAAACCCCCAAATGCTCCTTTCCTGGTTTGAACCAACAGGATGCATTCAGCACAATAATGCACTCAGAAATTAAACCAATTTACCCCCAGGGAATTGGTGCTGTGCCCTGTGCACCCCAACAGCCTGCCAGTGTGTGTTCCCTGCACCCCTGGACGTACCCGGTCGAAGGGAATCCCGTATTTCTTCAGGATTGAGGGAGAGATGAGGGTCATCTTGTGACGGAGGAAAGCATCACATCCCTGAGAGCTTCCTGGGAAAAATCCTGTGGGGACATTCAGAGGAGGGATATCACTACAGGGAATGTCACATCCCATGGATTCGTTAAGCAGAGACAAGTATTTCATAAAGATAAAGCAAAAGCAGACAACCAAGATGTCAGTAATTAGCATGGTTTTGTTAAATATTATATAAATTTTGTTAAGATTCCAGACCAATCTGCCCCTACAGACCACTCCCTAAAGAGGAAAATCAGCATGTAAATGTTAATAATTGGGGAAAGGAAAGAAAATAAAACATCTCCCTCCCAGGCAGTGGCAAGAGGGTCATCAACAAGTGGCAGAGACAGCAGGACCTGACCCAGTGAGAAACTCAGAACCATCAAGTGTCAAACCCTTCCTCAGATACAGGATCCACACCGAGCTGTTCAACCCAACCCCAAACAACAAAGAGTCCTAAAAAGGGTGGTAAACACTGAACGACCTCCTTGATGCCACCAAATGGAACCCCATTTCCTTCAAAGAGCATGTTTTTTCCCCTCCAAGTGGGTGACTCAGTGACAAATTGTGTGTTTACAGGGATTCAGACCCATCACCATTTAGGAAAATAAATAAGCCAAGCCCTGGAAACAAAAGTAATTGATGAGACGTAATGGAAGGGGTTTCAGATAAGCAAAAAGGATTACTGGATTCCAGGTTTTCTTACATTTTTTGCACTAAAAGCATTTCAATTAAAATTATGACTGCCTGCTACCCAGCCTGTCCTTCCTCTCTGCAGTCCCTCTTTTTAATGCACAGTTTAAGTGGCTCTCATTAAAGCCACTAATAAAGGAGCACATTTTAAGTGATTAGCACCAATAACATGGCAACACATTAACATTCTCTCCGTGGGCTCCACAGCTCTCCCAGCGAGCCCATTTACAGCTCAGCTATTCATTTTCCATATTAATTGCACACTCATTTCTCCCCAGTAAACTTCTCCCTGGTACAGCCCCACTGATGTGGAGGACACGGGGAATGGTCAGGGAGCAAAAATGCCTCCTCGGAGCTGTATAAAACATCCTCCCCCCATCCCACCTTCCAAAAATCCAGAAAACTAAAACGAAGACCAGATCCTTGATAATTTCCTTCTGGATTTACGTCACAAACCATCCAAAAATTGACCAGCCGTAAAAATTAGTTACAAACAGTGAGAAACTTCATTATTGCTTCTGTCAGAGCTGGGGGGGGGGGTAGATTTCAGAGCCTGCAGAACATGAGCCCTCTGCACTGACTGACTTCTTGGAAAAAATCACTTTTTCATCTGGTAAAATCTGGCAAATGACTGAACTGAAGTGCAGCTTTGAAAGGCACCATTTCTCAGCAGACATTTCTGATATTATTTGTATTTAGGGATCAAGGAGCTCACAGCACTACCATGCCCTAGGAAATTCCTTCCCAGTTCTTCTACGTTTATCCCACACAATCAGTTGATTCCCTTGGCACTCTCTCCTTTTTAAATTATTTTTAAAATTCTACTATGTTAGTCTATTATTTTTATTCTGTTATTTTAATGTTTATTCTATTTTATTATTACATGTATTGGTTTTATTCTATTATTTTTATTCCATTATTTTAATGTTTTTTTCTATTTTATTATTACATGTATTGGTTTTATTCTATTATTTTTATTCAGTTGTTTTATTTTTATTCTTATTTATTATGATTGTATAATTTTTATTCTATTATTTTTATTCAGTTGTTTTATTTTTATTCTTATTTATTATGATTGTATAATTTTTATTCTCTTATTTTATTCTTTTAATGATTTTTATTATTACATTAATTGATTTTATTCTTCTTTTTAATTTTTATTTATTAATTTTTTTAAATTTTTATTTTATTCAGTCAAATGTCACACTGTCAGCAGGAGATGGCACTACACTGAAATTTGCTAATTTTTGGGAAAATCAGCCTCAGAACTTCTTTTCTTTTGAACCAGAACAGAGTCCTCCAGATTTTCCTGCCCGCTTTCAACTTCCCCACCAGACCCAACCCCTTCCCCCTCGCCTCGCTGGAGACGAACCACGGAGATTTCCAGTTAATTATTCTGGGTCAGGAGCTTTTTATAGGTGGGCAGCTCCAGGAACATTTTTTGCAAGCGAACAAAAATAGCAACCACATCAACAAATTAAAAAATATATATATATATTCTTCTGCAGCCAGACATCTTCCCTGGAGCTTGGGAGGTGGGAGTTCACCCCAACCCAAACTAACTCTGACTCTCCCTCACCCCCAACATTTTCCTTTCTTTTCACAGCGTGCCACAAACACTTTGAGGCTTTGAGGAAAGAGCTGAGCTGGGAGGAAAAGCCCCTGCCAGGTTTTTTTGGCTCTACCGAGGCAGCAGGTTCCTCAAGCAGCTCTGGCAAGGGTAAATTACATCTGTCAACTCTGTGTCAGTGCCTTGAAAACCCCAAGCTCACCTTTTGCCAGGCGTTCCAGCCTCTTGCCGTGTTCCGGAGGGATGGCGTACCTGGGGGAAGATGAACAGGCAATTAAACACCACAAGCAGCACTCTGTCGTGTAAAAACAGCTGAAGAAACACCCAGCAACAAGTGGGGGAACAACCTTCAGCACAGCACAGCCTGCCTGAAAATAAACCCAAATTTTTACAGCCCTGGGAACACAGAATCCATGGGAGAAACCCAGGATTTTAATAAAACTCCTCAGACATGTTATATGAGGTGTGTTATTTTCTGCCATTTTCTGAAAGAGTATCGACAAGGTTTCACAAGGCAGAAGGAGAATCGAGGAGACAAAGTGATGATGCAGCACTGGAAAACCAGAAACAATTCAGCGCAGGGGACAGCAGGTGTGTTTGCCATCGGAAACGTATCTGCAGAAATAAAATTGTGCTGAAGATTAACAGGCAAGAAATGTTGGATGGGCTGAAAAAGGTGTGGAGGAGGGTCTGTGTGCTTTGGGATACCTACAGCAAAGGAATATAACCACTTTCTGTGCAAATAGTTTTAATTTTGTTCCAAAAAGTACATATTCTTCCCCATGGTTAAAGCACTAATGGCTCAGTCCTTATGTCTGTGCTGGATTTTAGTGGCTGATGGGAAATAACGGAATTAAACCATTCAATAATTTTCTTGATGAGGTGAATGAAAATGAAAGGTCTGCTGAGAAAAAACAACATTAAAGGGTACAAAGAACAACTTCTACACCCCTTAAAGACAGTTTTGTGAGATTAGGGGTAAAAAGGATTTGACTGAAGTTTTCTTTGAGTGCAAAATTATTGAATGTGAAACTGGAGAAACAATGAACTGCCTGAGGTCACAGACACAGAGCTGCGTGTGATCATCCTGTCCAAAAACCACTTTCCTCTCTCTTCCCAAAGCTTTCAGTTCCCTGGGTGCTTTGAATATTCCCAGGTGACTTCGACTGATGTGTTCAGGTTACAAGGAGGGAGCTTAAAAAACCACGACAAACGACAAACACTTGGGTGTGTTGAACACGATGCCACACGCAATCCTGCCGGTGGAGATCTGTAAATCGCTGGTTACACACACTGCAGCGAGTCAAACGCGGCTCTCCCCGCTCCTGGTGACAGAGAATTCCGAGAATTTACATTTCTGAGAGTGGCATTTATCGCCGGCGATAACTCCTCTTCAAAGGGGACGATAAAAAATGCATTATTTTTGCTATTTCCAATAAAGATGTCAAAGCCATCGGGCCTCGTTACAGCAAGCTGAAAACAGGATGTTGCAAGTGGGGGGGGGGGAACTGCACCATCCCAACAGCAGGTGCACATATTGCTCTGCTCAGGATGGAGCTCAAAATACACCTGAGTTGAGAGGAACTGCAGCCAACTCCTGGGTTTTCAAGTCTAAAACTCGAGTCTGCAGCGCAAGGAGAAGCAGATAAAAGTCTCATCTCCCGTGTGACAACATCAAAATGTACCTGGTGTGGCCTGGCAGGTGGGGAGGATAACACAGGACGGAAATCAAGCACAGGGGGCTTCAAGGTTTAGACATTAAGCTGATTTCAACTGATGGCTTAACAAAAAAAAAAAAAAAAAATTTAAGGCAAAACACCGTGTAGCCCCTAATCTTGTAAAATAACAAATCCAGCAATGGACTCCCAACATCCCCTGACCAAAGTTTGACAGTGCCTTAAATTGCATAATTATCAAACAATTCGATTCCATTTGTCTGGGACAAAGCTGGTGGCTTTTATTTTACAAAGACCATTCATCACTTACATAAATGTGATAAAACTAATCCAGATCCAAAGCTCCTTTGTGGGATTAATGTCCCTTAAAACAGGGAAATGAGACATTCCATTCCTTCTGGGAAAAATGCTGAAGGATTGGGAAAGAACTAATTTATGGCTACAAGGCTGCTGATGATTAATGTAATATCCCCAGTCTACAATGCAACCTTCACTTAATTAGTGCCTGTAATTGGGAGTTGTAAAGATAAGATTAATTGAATCTTGAGGATGTTAAAAGTTTAATACATTGGAACATGGTTATTGTGTTATCTGAAACTGCAGCCTGCAAAAAGCCAAGCGAGGCTTTAGAGAACAGCCCGTGGAGAGACAAAAGGGAAAAGGACTTGCTTGGATAGAAACCAGCCAGAGAGGAGGAATTTCCAGCTTATAAAAAAGAACTATATGTAATAAAACACAAATCAAAATAGCCCAGCACAGAGTGGTAACAGCTGACTCCCACTATAGAAATTCACTTTTTTTTTGTTTGTTTGGGCCAGGCTTTAGGAAGCTGAGCCTACCACGCATCCCTCTGCATTTCTTTTAGGGATTCACAGAATTAACAGCAGGAGAGAATTTCAAAGTAGGTCAAATTGTGCTTTAAGTTGCGCTCACAGATCTGAGTTGATTTCCATAAAGACAGGCAATAAAGACAGAATTTGGGCTGCTGTTTAGAGCCAGCAAGAGAAACAGAAGGCTGGGAAAGTATGGCACAGATTGAGCTCCATCTCCACATAAACTGAGGGATCGTCAGGCAGAACAACAATGCAAACACTCAGGATTGCTGCCCTCAAAGGAGGGCAGTTACTGAGTGATAAACACCCACACAGGGCTGGTTTTTTGGGTGTCCTCCTGCTTTCAGCGTGAAAAACACATCCAAGAACTCCCTTTTCTAGATGCATGACTTTGAATGCTTTAACAATTTATTTTGACAAACAGTGTGGTTATTTTCCTTTAAATCTCCCGGCCCAAACACTAAATGCAGTAGGTTTTCTCTAGAAAAAAAATACAAACCCCAAAACCCCTCCACCCCGTCAGATTCTTGAAAAACAAAACTAAAAAATTAAAACGTGTAAAACTCCTCCCCTCCTCTGTCCCGTTCAGATCATAAACAAAACCTTTCCACAAAGAAAGAGAAGGAAAAACACTTTAAACAGGCCAAAAAAATACCACTTTTGTATCAACTGGCCAAACCAGACTCAGTCTCCACGGACTGGGATGTGTCAGGACTGTTGGACAGTTTTGGGTTAGGGTTGGATCAGGTGTGGGGAGGACTCACCTGGATGGAGAAAGGATTTTCCACTCCCCCAACCAACCTCAAGTAAATAGAAGTGATGGTGGCAGCATAAATATTTTAGCAGCCTTCCTTAAGAACCATCTTTTTATGGACTTATTTCTGCTGCAGAGAAAAACTCTGCAAGAGCCACCAGAGAACCCAACAGTGCTGGAAACACTGACCTCGAGCCAGGGCAGGATTTGTCCCTGCCTGGTTCAACGTGGTCCCCCAGAAAAGCCAAGTTTATGTTGATGGTGCGAAAGCAGCAGCTGTTTGAGGGTAAATCAACCTTCCTGGGCTTGCAAACAAACCAAGGGACCGATTCCAAGGGTCAGCCTCGCAGTGGTTGACCAAGACAAAGGGCCGAGCTTCCCCCAAAAACCTGCCACTCAGCAATTTGTGGGATTACAGCCTGAATAATGTGCTGCTGCTCTGCCAGGGGACATGAGATTTAGGGAGTGGGGGAAAGAAAAAAACCAGCTCAAGATAACAAAAGTTACAGTTTCACGACTCAGATGTCACCCTACCCCGAAGTCAACAATCTGAACGTAACATACTGAGCCTTTTAAATTAACTTTTGCTGCTTCCTACCAAAACAACACAAAGTCCCTGAAGTGGATCAAGTATCACTTGTACTCAAACAGAACTTACTGTTCTACATGAAACACCCTCAGCTTCCAAACTCGTGTCCTGAAACATTAATTCCGGCGTTTCTGGTCTTTTTACCTCCCATCTGATCCTCTGAGTTCCTGAGTCAGGGTCACAAGTTCAGAAGGTTTTGCCCCAAAGCTACAAATGGGTTAGAAAATAATCTACACCTAGGGGTAGTTTGATTTGGAATGGTTTGGGTTGGAAGGGACCTTAAAGCCCATCCAGGGACACCTCCCACTAGCCCAGGGTGCTCCAATCTGGCCTTGGACACTCCCAGGGATGGGGCAGCCACAGAGAACCTGTGCCAGGGCCTCCCCACCCTCCCAGGGAAGAATTCCTCCCAAACATAAGTTTAACTGGACAGTCCCCTCTTTATCCTCAACACAAAAGAAAGATCCTTCCTATTTGCCATCATAGGATGTCATTAATAGCGTAATTTTCTTGGTGTTTTGTTTATTCCCCTGGAATGGGGCTTGATGGATGTGGATAATTATCAGACTATAAAAGCCAGCAAATGTGCTATTTTCTATCGCTCTAAATCATCAAACAAATAAAGTGTGAAACAGCATTTCTGAATACAATTTTCCCCTCTAATGGCTTAGAATTATTATCAGGAACAATGAAAATAAATAAGCAAATGTCTTGTGAGTTAAGAATTAAACAAGTGTTTCAGCAAGAACGAGCTGACAGGCCATGCTGGGATCCAGGGACCAGTCTGGAGGCCTTTAAGGAATGATGTAACAGGGAATTCAGGATGGCAGCGACAGCTTCCAGCACCAGCTGCTCCTCAGGGACCTTCCAGGCTCGGATTCTCCTCGTTGCTGCTTCTTCCAAGCAGAGGAAATTCAATCTGAGGCTCTCAGTGGCCAGAAGAAGACACTAAAAACCTGTTCCATAAGAAAGGCCTGCTCACTCACACCTGTTTTCTCCCTGGTTAAGAGGAATTCTTCTCACCTGAAGCCATCCCTGCCTTTGGCAGAGGACCAGACCATCCTGTCCCTTCATCCAACCTCCCCCAGAGCTTCCAAGACCTTTCCTTGCCACAGTTGTCACTCAGAGAGTTTTTGATAGTTACCCCCTTGCCTCCCCCACCTCATTACACACCAGCCCCAACACAGAGCAATTAAGCAGTGATTAATTTCTTAAACCCCACAACTCTGCTGGAGTTGGGGCTCCACGGGCAGGAGGATCAACCACAAAGGCTTTGGAAATGTCACTTCAATCCTGTCCGTGTGAGAAGGTAAGAAACTTAATTTCACAGTGTGTGCACAAGGTTTGCCCGAGCAGGCCCCACACAGTTTAACAAACCTTAATTACTGAAATAAGGAACA